ATTATTTTAGATCAATCAATAAATAAAATAATGCATAATGTGAAAATTATAGAAATTTCGTACATATTCTTTTATGTTTCCAACAAAAGAATAATTCTCAAAATCATAGTACTTTGTTTGTGTATAAAAGAAAGCTATGTTTGTCGATCAATTAAGTTAGATTGGTTTTTTATTGAGCTTATTTCATTTTTCCATTATGCAACATGTACATAATAGGTTTAAATACCAATATTTCTGTCTATGAAACTATCATCGACGGAATTGTCCGACGCGTATTTGCAAGCTATTTCTGACCAATGAAAGTATGAAAGTTAATCAAATTAACTATATAATTTATTGTAACAAATCAAGTGCTAATTAGGTCAACATTTAAAGACAATAAACCAGCCATCACGTGAAACTGTGTGATCTATTCAATGTACGTACATGTGGGTTAATTTTTAATACAATAAAAAATTAACATATCTTACCAAGAAACCAAAAACATGCAAGAAGTCAAATTAAAGCTTTGTCAATCCCTTTTAATGAGCTGTACTTTTGCATGTTATTGAGTAAATAATAATGATAATAATATCGTACACCTTGTTCAAACACGAATCTAGGTTAGAGCAATTTTATCCAATGTCTGAAAATACTAGGTTTAGATGGGGATTCTACTGTAAAAATATTGTATTAAGACTATTTTCATGGCAAAACGTGTATAATACAATGTCAAACTACGTTGTATAAATGTTTAAGAGGTTAAAAAATGTGTATTTATTATTTAAATTTTTAGTTTTGTTGTATCCCATGGAAGCTACATTCATTTTCTTAATAATTTAATTAACATGCACAAAATTTTCAGAAATGGGTATACATAGCGACTCACCTCAGTCCACTACTTTGTTGCTATTGATGATGCCTATTAATTCAAACGTTCGGTTGGGAAGAATTTATGAACGGTTTATAAGATATAAATTCAAAATCAATTAGGAAGAGAAAGAAATAAGATAAACATGATTTCCTACTAGGAAACATGTATTTTAACTCTACCTTTTATAGTTGTTATTATCTTTTTTAGGTACAGTTGTGATATGATTTTTATCTTTTATTTAATTAGGACTATAGTTTCTTTATTGGTTAGAATATGAGTTTTAATTAAATTAGAATTTATTAATTTATATATTTTAGACTCCTTATATTAGTAAGATTAGGGGATAATCTTGCCCATAAATATAGAGACTTTATACACTTCTTAAAAGTCCAATTCATTATTTGATTCTTGACTGATACACTATTTTGGTTTTCCCATTTATTGGTGGATTCCAAATAATTACCACATCCGTTCAAACGAAATTCGAGCAAATACACGTTCGTGTGTTACGAACTAGACACTTTTATTATTATCCATGTTTTCATCCTGTGTCAGGTGGTATTAGAGCCGGCTTTTCCGTCTCTATATCTTTGATTCATAAACATGAGTGACGTACCAGTTATTAGGATAGATTTAGATGCAACAAATTGATTGACTGACGATCTTGCTACTCAGATTGAAGAGATTCGTCACTTGCTTCTACGGGGTTCTGGAAATAATGGGTAGAATGAACAGCGGGCAACCAACAATGAACGGATGATTGAACCTATAGTTCGGAAAAAAAATAATAGGTGCATGTTTGGTTGTGATTTTTTGGTGTCACCCTCCCAAAAAAATCAATTTTTTGATCATTACTTTACTAAATCAGCCGTCATTTTTTTTACTTATTCTCGCACAGGTGGGACCCACTTTTCTCTCTAACGGTCAAAAAATCAATTCTCATAATCACTACCGAATGAACCCTAGGAGGCTTGCATTAGTAGACAGTGAATCAAAGTCGGAGGAGAAGTTCGAAGTACTGCCACATCATTCTAATCATTAAAATCGAAATACCTTTGATGATTATCGGATTAAAGCAGACATTCCTCCGTTCTTTGGAAACATGAAGATCGAAGACTTCTTAGATTAGTTGGTAGAGGTTGAGAGATTATTTGAAATTATGGATATTTCAGAGGATAACATGGTTGAGATGGTGGCATTTTGTTTGAAATCTGCGGCAGCAGTATGGTAGTTGAAGAGAATTTCTAGTCAATTTAGGACAATAATTCTCTCTTCCTTTTTGCACTATTTCAAAAAATTCTGGCATTTTCGTCAAACTAAGCAATGTTGATGAGAACTTCTAATTTATTTAGGTGCACTCTCTTCATTTCTACGTTAATTTTAAAGTATCTACGCGTTCTCGGCAAATAAATACAAAATTTTTAGTCCATTTAAACACTTTAGTCTTTCTCGGCAATATTCCCTAAATTGACTAAATAATATTAATATAAATTAATTGGACACATTTTATTTAGACAAAAATAAAATAAAATAAAATAAATTAACCGGCTATAAAGATATGGTTATAAATTCTATGCAGGGTGTCTATATATTTCGTTTCATTTTTGCAAGTTGGCAGGTTAAATTGACGGCTCATCTTTCTCCATCCAGCTCCCATAATGCATGCCAAAGTCATGTCCAAAAAAGACCACATGTTATATTACTTCATTATCTTTCAGTAATTCTCGAAGAGGGTCGTAAATTATATACATATACTGACATGAAATTGTCAATAACTATTTTAGTATATTAGATTAAACAATATTTGAAAGAAATAAGAAATAAATACATAATAGTTATATTAGATTAACAATATTTGAAAGAAAGAAGAAATAAATATATAATAGTTAAGAGTTTTGTTTATGTATTTCGTAATATTGTCTATTACTGTAATAATAATATACTGTTTTAAGGCCTGTTAGGGAGTGATTTTTCCCCAAAAAAATTGATTTTTTAACTTTTATTTCACTATTCCAACCGTCATATTTGACTTCTTCTCTCACAGGTAGAGCCAACTTTTCTCCCAACAGTCAAAAAATCAATTTTTAAAATCACTCTCAAACAAGCTCTTACATGTTTGATGTATTGAATTGAATTTGAATTATTTATTCTTTGTTAGTATTATCAATTCTGCATGTCAAAGAGGCGTCCAATTCTAGGCAATGTTTTAAAAGATGGAAAAAAGGTGAAGCCTACCTAAGGCGTTAGTGCCATCATAGTTGTTGATGGTGGTCCTATTTAATTAGAAAAGCATAATGTGTATGTCACATAGGACGATTACGACAGTGAGTGATTGCAAATAATATTATTTTTAATTAAATTATCTTATACTAACTAAAATCACACGTAGATTGGAAATAATTCTCAAAATCATAAATTCTATAATTATTTAGCAATTAATTTCAACTATTAGATTGAATATGATATATTAACTTAAAAAAAATAAAATAAAAAAATAAAAAAGGAATACAGCCAAAAGTCTGAAAAACAAAAGAAGAAAAATGAAAATAAGCCTTCTAAAATTAATAAATATAAACAAAGCTAAAATGAAAAGCCTCAAGTTGTAAAAAATTAAAGACAACTTCAAGCAAATCCATCCTATACGCTCCACCCCTCTCTCCAATTCCCATAAACGCCTATGGGAGATACCGCATTACCTTGTCCTCGTTGCTTCCCTTACTTTTTTAAGAAATAATATAAATACAAAACTATAATTGAAAAATGGCCTATGGGTTTAGATTCTCATTTCATGCCAACTTGGTTATTGTGCCATCATATGCATACATCTAGTTGTTGATGGTGGTCCTGTTTATAGATTAGAGGTTCAGATTGGGTTATCGCTAATTATGATGAATGTCGTCATGTTCACATTTTTAACTGTCATATATATCTTTAACTATCGTCTCACTATCTTTACTAATTTCGCTCGAGTTCTCGTCAAATCCTTTGAGCGAACATTGAGGAACCGCCTTTTTCCCCATCTTGCCCACATACTTGGCATTCTTCCTGTTCGGTTTGGAGTAAAATCGATAGGGCTATGGTTAATGATGTTTGGATACAAAATGGGGCTCTTGTTAAAGCTAATTTTATACCATCCGGATGTCTCTCCGACCACTCCCCTTGCATTGTCTCTATACATGACCGTGTGAGGAGAGTAAAAACCCCTTTTAAGTTCTTTAACATGCCGGCCAAGCATGTGGATTTCAACGACTTGATAAGGGGCTGCTGGAATTATCATATGCGGGGGTCGAAACAATTCACCATTTGCAAGAAATTGTGCAAATTAAAGGAGCCTTTGAAGGAGCTTAATGCCAAGCATTTTGGGCATATTTCGGGTAGAATAATCGAGGCCAAAAATGACTTAGAATCTGCTCAATTACAGCTGCATAATCAGCCCACCAATGCTGATTTTCAGATTTTGGTTGCTAAATTGGGGAAGAAGACCGTTACCTTATGTGAAGCGGAACGTAGTTTTTACTACCAAAAGACAAAGTGTATTTTCCTCAAGGATAGTGATAAATGCACTAAGTTCTTTCACTCATTAATTAAAAGGAACTCCAAGAGGAATTTTATTGCTAAGGTTCTTAAAGAAGATGGGATGTATACTACATCACAAGAGGAAGTGGCTAGTGAATTTGTAAAATTTATACTTCCTTGTTGGAGAAGAAATGCTCCTCCCGACCTATTGATATGGATATCCTTTCAAATGGTCCCTTGGTCTCCTCGAAACAAGGTGATACCTTGGTTCGGGACGTTTCTCATGAGGAAATCAAAGAAGCGCTTTTTGATATTGGGGATGACAAATGTTCCGGACCGGATGGCTATACCTCTTGTTTCTTTAAGAATGCTTGAGGGATTATTGGTGATGATTTTGTTGGAGCTATCTCAGAATTTTTCTCTTCGGGTTGCATTCTTAAACAAATTAATCACACAGTAATTGCTTTGGTACCTAAATCGGATCACACGTCACATGTTGGTGATTATAGGCCTATTTCTTGTTGCAATGTTACTTATAAAGTGGCTGCCAAAATACTTGCTTCAAGATTGAGACCCATATTGGGAGATAGTTGACCATGCGCAAGCCGCATTTGTGGAAGGTAGGAGTATTATGGAGAACAACCATCTTGCCCAAGAGCTATTGAGGCAATACAATAGAAAAAGGGTTGCCCCTCGATGCCTCTTGAAAATTGATCTCTCGAAGGCCTATGACTCGGTGTGTTGGGATTTCCTTAGAGATGTCCTTGTTGGTTTGAAATTTCCTTCGAGATTTGTTCATTGGATTATGAAGTGTGTCACTTCTATATCATACTCTATTGCTTTGAATGGGACTTTGCATGGTTTTTTCAAAGGTGAGAAGGGTCTTCGGCAAGGTGATCCCCTTTCTCCCTTCCTATTTGTGCTTTGTATTGAATATCTTTCTAGATTGCTCAAGGATGCCACATATGAGAGTGACTTCAACTTTCATCCTAAATGTGGCCCCCAAAAGATCAACCATTTAGCATTTGCCGATGATTTGATGCTATTTGCGAGGGGAGATTTTTTGTCGGTTAAAATTCTCATGGATTGCCTATCTAAATTTGGTTCGGTCTCGGGATTAAAGTTGAATATCCTTAAATCTAGCTTGTTTACAGCTGGTGTGCATGGACAAACCCTCGATGATATTATGGAATTAACTTGTGTTCCTAGGGGAACAATGTCATTTCGGTATTTGGGCATCCCCTTGCATCGGACAAACTCAAGGTTAGTGGTTATGCTCCCTTTCTGGATAAAATTACATCATATATTGGTGCATGGAATTCCTCTATATTATCATATGCTGGCAAGATGGAACTTATTAGGGAGTTTCTTCAAGGAGTTGAATGTTTTTTGCTATCTATTTTCCCTATTCCGGCTACAATTATTTCTAGAATTGTTAGCCTGTGTCGGACATTCCTTTGAGGATCTAGAAAGCCATTAGTAGCGTGGAAGGATATTTGCCTACCAAAGGAAGAAGGGGGACTAGAATTAAAGGATTTGAAGAGTTGGAATTTAGCGCTTCTTGCTAAATCCCTTTGAAATATCCACAATAAAAAGGACTCCCTATGGATTCGGTGGGTCAATCATGTGTATCTCCACGGGTCTTGTATTTGGGAGGTTCGGCCTAGGAAGGATCATTCACCTCTCTTCAAGAAACTGCTTGAAATTAGGGACATTATTTCTGTGAATGCTGCTGCCCAACAGATTTTTATTCATGGACAGCAAGGTCGAATGGGTCTTATGGATGCTGGTAGTGTCTCTTCACGTCAGGTACTTCAGGGACGAGTTTATAGTGCTGGAAATGGACGAAATGCCCGGTCTCTCAGTGCTGGAAACACTATAAACAGCCCCGTTCATGGCCAGTTTCTGGACAGCAACACATGCAGGCAGACAGCTTCATTCGGTAGGCAGTTTTTGGTAATTTGGAGTGAAAATCTGGGCTGTTCTACAGCTGCTAAATTCAGTACAAAAAATGCTTACAATTTCTTTAGGCCTAAGGGTACTTTCAAGCCTTGGGGAGCAGAAGTTTGGAAAGCATGCATCACTCCGAAGCACTCTTTTATGCTTTGGTTAGGGGCCCAATCAAAGCTCCTAACCAAAGATAAATTACTCTACTTGGATATTGATTGTAAATGTGTTCTTTGTGGTTGTTTTGATGAAACTTGTGAGCATCTTTTCTTCAAGTGCTCCTTCACATCTTCATTATGGGAGAGCATTAGGAGAAGGCTTGACATTACAAGATCTATGTCGACACTTGCTATTGCTCTTAAGTAGTTGAAAAAGGAGGCCCGTGGAACTTCTTGATTTAACAAGGCGAAGAGAGTTGCTCTTGCAAGCACAGTTTACTACATTTGGCTTACGCGAAATAGGAAGATTTTTGAAGACCTCTCACCCGACTTGGATTCCATTGTGAGACGGATCAAGACACACGTATACAAAATTATGTTTAATTTGTATCCGGATGTCTTGATTCATTTCGAATCCTTAGCCGTGGATCATTGATCTTGATGTATTTTGCCTTCTTTTAGTTCCCCCGGGTATGCCCGGAGGAGTTGTTTATGTTTATGGACATTGATTCGTCCGGGTATACCCGGTGTACTTGTATTTGATTATGGAAATTGTCTCGCCCGGGTATGCTCGGTGTATTTGTACATGGTATATCTTTTATTAATATATTTACATTTACCGATAAAAAAAAAAAAAAAAAAATATATATATATATATATATATATATATATATATATATTAGCTATGAATCTGTCTAGTTTTATTTGTGTGATGTTCATAATTGGAAAAGAAATGAATGAATGCAAGAAATTTTCTGTAAACATAGAAGGAATTGCAATATTGATTGTATAAATTTTTCACGTGGAAAATGTTGAAGTAAAAGTATTTTTTGATATTCGTTTGACTTTGTTTTACGTGGAAATTGTCAATTTCAGGGATATCCTCTTTTACAATTATTCCTAAAATTTGTTCCCATTGCCAACAATTAAAAAAAATTTAAAAAAGCAAAAAAAATAAAATAAAAAAAGGTGGAAAACCAAAAACCACCTATCCCCTAGGAAAAAAAAGGTGGAAAATCACGCTTTAAGGTGTTGTACCTAGAAATTCATGGAAAATCAATTCCCTGGAAAATTTTGTCAATCAAACAGGCCAAAAGTGGAAGTTGGAATTCGAATTCCAAATTCCATGGAAAATTTCGTGCAATCAAACGGGGCCTAATATGTGACATTGAGATGACGATCTAATAGAGATTTAAATGTTCTACCCTTTGAGAATACCAATTATGCAACTGCAATATATAAAATGTTGAGGATAATCTTCTTTCTTTTTAAAGATTAAAGATTAACTTGTTAATGTGGCAATGGGTTAGTTTTCAATAGATTTTTTTTTCTCTCTTAAATTTAATTATTTCTTTATCAAGTATGACCCAGCATATTTATCATTATTTCTTTCTACCAACACTTGGCCCTGGAAATTAATATTCATGAATTTTTACAGTTTTCTATCGCAAACTGGTAATGGATGGCGACGGATTAGGGACAATAATAATTCATTATTGAAAGTGACGATTTACAAGCCAAAACTGAAGAAAAAAATTTTGGTGACAAAAAATTTTAGTATTCATGAATTGAACGTTCTTACGACTATGTACACGTTATCATTACTCCTAAATGAAAGATGCAGCATTACCTTGACGAACCAGTAACTTTTGTGGATGTTTAATTACTTATTTGACTTGATTGGAATTTTCTAGAGAATATGACAATTACTGTCTGAGATAAATTAGGGGCATGTTCAGTAATAATTATGAGAATTGATTTTTTGGTCGTTAGAGAGAAAAAATGGATCCTACTTGTGAGTGAAGAAGTCAAAAAATAATGATTGGAACAGTGAAATATAAATAAAAAAATTGATTATTTGGAATAAAAAATTGCTACCCAACGGGGGCTAGATCTAGTTCACTAATCAAAATGTTAATTACTCCCCCGTCCCAATTATATAGGCTTGTTTCGTTTTTCACACGGATTAAAAAATATTCTTTAATGTCATTGAAAAATTAATTTTAGCCAAGATCTTTCCTAGTTTACCCCTATTTAATTTTTAGTATATATTAGTAAATTATTGTTGGAATTAGTAAAGAATTTGAATAATTTAATTTGAGGAAGAAGAAACGAGAATTGTTTCATGTTTTTAAGAAGTGGGAAATGTGTGTATTTATATAATTTCAAGGAGTTAGCACATTAAGTGGAGAAAATTGAAATAAAGGAACAAAACAAAATTAAATTAGGTAACAAGCCTACGTATTTAGAACAAATGAAAAATAAAACTCAACCTATATAATAGGAATGGAGTAATAAGTTCATTTGTCCACAAGGCATTAAAAAGTGGATTAATTTATTATTAATTATTTAATAATTAATCTATAATAATCCCTTCTTTAGGCTTTAAAATCCATGCTTTAGAAGATGAACCGACACAGTTTGTGTAAGATTACTCTTTTAATCTAGGAACATAAAAAATTGCATCTATAGTCATTTATCCATACGTAAATGAACAACTGGAGTAGTGTTTTATTTTTAAATTTCTGTAAAACTTGATCTTGAGATGTCACTTCCATCAAAGAAAAACTGTTAAAAGTAACGACTTATTCACTATTACCGTAATTAATGTTGTATGCTTAATCAGTAATGCTATACTTGTAGAAAAAAATAATACAAATGTTTTACAGAATACACACAGCAGTGGGGGTCATCCCAATAAAATATTCACATGGAGTCTACTCCCATGTGTTTACCCTGTAGAAGATATGTGGAAAATTTCATGTACATAGGGCATTTCTGATGCTTAATACTCCAAGGCTTGTTGATTCGACACGTGAATATTGGAAATTAAACAAAATAAAAGAAACAACTCGCGACATTTTATCAAAATCCATTCAAAATAGACCGTTTGCCTTAACCTACGACCCAGTCATCCTCGCTCGTCCTTATGTACCTTTTAGATTGTTTTGGATACACTCGGAATAATACATGAACTCTAATGTCCTAAAATTCTATTTTGCTTCGAAGATTATTGAAAACTTCATTGCCAATAAAAATTTAAGTAAAGATTCAATTTTTTATTGATAAGTATATTTTATACATTTACTTAAACTATTATATTTATGTAATATTTTAGTCTTCAAGCGGATATCTACTGATATTGGAGTATAGGTGATTTTTTATATGTTGAACTCTCAATTTGAAGATGATTAATGCAAATAGGAAGAAGATGATTTAGCATAAAATGACCAAAAGTAGTAAAACGAAGAACTATTGTGTAGAACATGTGACGTAATTAATGCATAAAATTTGGTGCGAAGAAGTTCACTGGGCCAATGATATACTATTGTAATTCAATTTGGAGTTGCAAATTGATGTAGATTGAATCTACAAACACACGACAACAATAACCAAACGAATTGAATTTAGAAAGAAGTTTTTATTATTTCGTGAACAACCAAGAAAACTTTAGGAGGCGTCTTGCAGCGTCTTAAATATGAAAGAAAAGATAACCTACTGGGCCAGCAGTCCCAAAATGAGTTGGGCTACAAAATAGAAATAACAAATTCTGAAAATAAATAACACAAAAACTTAAAATGCTGTTTTGACACACTAAACGACTTCAAATGCCCAAAAACCCTCGTATGTCACGGCAAAGCGGTGAATTCAATCCGAAACGCTCGCTACCTTTCCGAAATGGGGCTATGGGCCCAAAACGGACACCAAACGCAAAAGTTACGTCAATTTCTTTGAAAGCCGATCATCCAATCGTTCCATGTATGCCAATGCCTGTTCCTCCACATAAACCTCATCATTCTCCCCAAGATCAATGGGATTCGCCCTCGAATCAGAACCGATAGTACTATCTCCCAGGTTGTCTCCATGGTATGGCAAAAGATACTTTACATTAAACACATCAGAAGTCCGTATATGGGGAGGAAGTCGAAGGCGATAGGCGTTGGGGTTGATCTTCTCCACAATTTCCACTGGACCAATGGTACGAGGTGATAACTTCGAATGCTCATGAGATGGCACTCGATCCTTAGTCAGTACCGCCCAAACATAATCCCCAACGTCAAACTCAACAGGACGTCGATGCCGATCAGCCGCCTCTTTATACTTACGGTTGGACTCTAGCAGATTAGCTCGTATTTCCTCATGAACTTGTTGCAAACTACGAACAAAGTCAACAGCTATCCCATGCAGCCGAGTCTTAGAGGGCAGAGTCAATAAATCAACAGGGCTGCGGGACAGAATACTATACATAACCTGGAACGGACTAAAAACCGGTGCTTCTATTTCTAGCATGATTATACGCAAACTCTGTCTGGCTAAGCCGTTGATCCCATGAGCGTAGATTATCCCCAACCAAGCACTGCAACAAGTCACCCAAAGAACGATTAACTACCTCTGTTTGCCCATCAGTTTGAGGGTGATAAGCACTACTAAAATTGAGCGATGTGTTAACTAACTTCCATAAACTCCGCCAAAAGTGACCGATGAACCTCGTGTCTCTGTCAGACACGATGGAAGTGGGCAACCCATGCAACCGATAAATCTCTCTGAAAAATAGCTGAGAAACCTTGACAGTATCAGTGGTGCGCTTGCAGGGAATGAAGTGCACCATTTTAGAAAAACAATCTACCACCACAAAGATGGAATCATTACCACGTTGTGTTTGCGGTAAACCCAGGACAAAATCCATGCTAATATCAGTCTACGGAGCTGAAGGCACTGGTAAGGGTCGATAAAGACCAGCGTTTGTGGCTTTCCCTTTTGCCACGTGGCACACCCTGCATCGTGAGACAAACTTCTCCACTTCACGATGCATAGTAGGCCAGAAAAATGAAGCGCTAATCAAAGCCAAAGTACGATCTCGCCTAACATGACCTTCACCATGAAACTCCTCAATCAATTTCAGACGAAGGCTGCAATTTGGTATACACAACTGAACATCTCTAAACACATACCCATCCTCTAACAGAAAAGAGGAATGGGGTCCCTGCAGTAAACTGTGATAGATGGGGCCAAAATAAGGGTTATCAGCATAAAAAGAGACAAAGGTCTCAAACCCGGTGACCACTACCTGTAGCCGCACTAATAACCCATGCCGCCGACTGAGTGCATCTGCCACACGATTAGAAGAACCAGCCTGATGTTTAATGACAAAGTTGAACTGTTGCAAAAAGGCAACCCATGATGCATGACGGGCAGATACAGACTCCTGGCTTGACAAATGCTTGAGGGCTTCATGATCACTGTATAAGACAAATTCTCGCTGAAACAGATAATGTCGCCAATGGCGAATGGCCTGAACAACAGCATAAAGCTCTGCGTCGTAAGTGCTATACGTCCCACGATCCCCTGCCAACTTCTGACTGAAATAAGCTAATGGTTTTCCTTCTTGACTGAGGACAGCTCCAATACCCAATTTAGAGGCATCACAATGTAATGCAAAAGGTTTTGTGAAATCAGGCAACGTAAGTATCGGGGATGAAGTCAGACGCTCCTTAATGATCAAAAACGCTTTCTCAATCTCGGGTGTCCACTGAAACTTACTCTCCTTCATGCAATCAGTAATGGGAGACATGATGGTGCTGAAGTGCTGAATAAATCGTCGTTAAAACGACGCTAAATCGTGGAAACTCCGCACATCAGAAACTGACTGTGGATGCGGCCACTGTCGAATCGCATCAACCTTAGCTGCATCCACCGTTACCCCACCGGCTGACACAACATACCTCAAAAACAAAACACTATCGATATAGAACACGCACTTCTTAGTGGTTGCAAAGAACTTCTCCTTGCTTAAAACAGTAAGGACTTCCCTTAGATGCACACCATGAGACTCCTCCGACCCACTGTACACCAATATGTCATCGAAGTATACAACAACGCACTTACCAATAAACGGTCAAAGTGCTTGGTTCATCACCCGTATGAACATGCTCGGTGCATTAGATAGTCCAAACGGCATAACTAGCCACTCAAATAATCCCTCCCGTGTCTTAAATGTTGTCTTCCACTCATCACCATGACGGACTCTTATCTGATGGTAACCACTTTTCAAGTCCAGTTTGTAAACACAGTTGCGCCAGCCAACTGATCAAGCAAGTCATCTAGCCTCGGTATCGGAAAGCGATAACGAACTGTTATTTTGTTGATGGCCCTGCTATCTATACACATCCGATAACTCCCATCTTTTTTTGGCACTAGGAGTGCGAGGACTGCACACGGGCTGAGACTCTCTCTGATGTACCCCTTCTGCACCAACTCCTCTACTTGTCTCCTCAACTCCTCTTGTTCCACTGGGCTCATTCGATAATGTGGGCGATTAGGCAATGACGCGCCTGGTACCAAATCAATGTGATGTTGCATATCCCGCAAAGGCGGAAGCCCTGTGGAAGGTCATCCGGAAACACATCATGAAACTCAGACACCAAGGTGGCAGCTTTGGGGTGAAGACCCGTCCCCTCGGCTGCCATAGGAACTGTCGACACTCCTATCGCCTCAGTTCCCACTAATAACAGTACATCACCTTCTGCCAGCATCTCACGCACAAACAAAGATCGGGAAAGTAGATTACTACTGTCCCCTGCCGAAGACAGACACTGCGTATCTTTGGAGGGTAGTAGTACAATCTTTTTACTCGAAAAGGTGAATGTATATGCATTTCGATGCCCTTCATGGCACACATCCCTATCAAACTGCCATGGATGACCCAACAACAAATGACACGCATCCATCGGCACCACATCACACCAAACACTATCACGATACACACTGTCAATAGAAAAAGATACCAACACACGGCTAGTAACACGAATTTCATTACCTCGTCTCAACCATGCTAAGCTATAGGGAGCAGGATGAGGTTCGGTGCTTAACTGCAGGTTCTACACGGCCGCTTCAGATATCACATTTTCGCAACTGCCCGAATCAATGATGAACCTACACACCTTTCCTCCAATGGTACACGTAGACAGAAAGATATTGTTTCGCTGCAGGTCCTCAGACAACCCCTTAGGCGTAAGGCACGCCTGTTGGACCACCCAAAGAGGCCCCGTGTCACATGTATGCACAATTTCAGCCTCTTCTTCTTCATTCTCCACATGAACAGGATCGTTAACATCGACTTGTGTTGTCCCTCCAATGAACAAACCTGGGTGTGGCTGCCCATGAGATGGACAGTCCTTCCTCAAATGACCAAAGCCACCACAACCAAAACACTGACTTCCATGCCCTCGTCTACCACGAGGAGCCAGCCACCCGGATTAGCGGTTGGAGGAACCACTGGCCGAGTGTTCCGATCAACGCCCCGACCCCTAGATGTAAAGGATTGGGACGGACTAGATGTGGGATTTGGGGCGAATTGTCGACCCCCACCTCCAGATGGACCACCAGAAATGCCTACTACAGAACGACGTTGTTGTTGATTTTCAGCCTGAAGTGCTCGCTGGTGAGCCTCAGAAACAGATACCAGCGAGAACATATTTAGGACGTCATGCAAATTCAATCGTAGTCCACCAATATAGCGCGCTACCAACTGGTCTTCTGATTCTCCCACATCATTTCGCGCTATCAGTTGGTAAAACTCTATGGAATAAGCATCTACAGATCGATTGCCTTGTCTCAAATTCTGTAAGCGCTGATACAAAGTCCTGGAATAATTAAAGAGAAGAAACGCTGCCTTCAACTGTTTCTTCATTTTTTCCCACGATAGGATTTTCACCTTACCCTGACGGATCCGGTTTTGCTTCAGTTGCTGCCACCACGCAGCAGCACGACCACGCAGATGGGTCGCCACCAAAGGTACCCTTTTATTGTCGGGCACTTCTTTGTAATCCAAGATCTCCTCTACTACCGCCAGCCAATCGAGGAATTCATCTGCCTCAATTCCACCGTGAAATTCAAGTATATCAACCTTGAATCCGGATTCCCATCTCTGAAACGCGTCTTGCTGTTGCACACGAGGCTGTTGAACATGATCGCCACGTGCCTCTGACAAGGTCTCCTCATCCGACCTCTCTCCTGATTCAGATCCACCTCCACCATCACTCACTAGGGCACGACGTGGAGGTGCAGGAGATGTTCCGTTCTGCACAACCTCTGCCGCCCACATCCTGAATTGATCAAATCGGATTGTCAACGCCTCAACTTGATTACGCAGATCTGCAATTTCATCAATCTGGCCACCACGACCATCACGTCCTCTCTCACGCACCATGCTCTGATACCAAAATGATGTAGATTGAATCTACAAACACACGACAACAATAACCAAAAGGATTGAATTCAAAAAAAAACTTTTATTATTTCGTGAACAACCAAGAAAACCCTAGGAGGCATCTTGCAGCGTCTTAAATATGAAAGAAAAGATAATATACTGGGCCAGCAGTCCCAAAATGGGCTGGGCTACAAAATGGAAATAATAAATGCTGAAAATAAATAACACAAAAACTTAAAATGCTGTTTTGACACACTAAACGACTTCAAATGCCCAAAAACTCTCGTACATCACAGCAAAGTTGTGAGTTCAATCCGAAACGCTCGCTACCTTTCCGAAATGGGGTTATGGGCCCAAAACGGACACCAAACGCAAAAGTTACATCAATTTCTTTGAAAGCCGACTATCCAACCGTTCCATGTATACCAATGCCTGTTCCTCCACATAAACCTCATCACAAATACATATCATAATTCGGAGTTGTGAATCAAAAGTTATACGCATTCAAAGTTAGGCCGTTGGAGCTAGGAAAATCTGTTGCTCATGGTTAGGTCGCGGTTATGCATACCATGACATGGGTTGTACCCTGCCATGCCCAATTTTTTGATCTTTTAACTTAAAATTAAGGGAAATTTGATAATTTCTTCAAAAATATAGAACACTATAAGTAGATAATTATTCATCGTGGATTCAACATTCTATTTATTACTATATTACTTGTTTACAAATCCACTCACTTGCGGAATAGAAATCGGCAACATTTATTTATGGGTAAATTGATATCACTGTATACATACCACTGAAAAAATATACAAAATTAAATATTTTAACTGAACTAAGCCTTTGTTTGTCAACTAATCTTCCACATTCTATCTTTTTTTTTTACAATACTCATTTTCAACCATATATTCTTCATTAAAATAAAATTACACATAAATAAAAAAATTCTTTTCTTTTTTAACTGAACTAAGCCTTTGTTTGTATACCATTTTTTTCACATTCTACCACATTATTTTTTCTACAATACTCGTTTTCGACCACACATTCTTCATTAAAATAATATTACACGTAAATTAAATTTTTTTTTTTAACCACACATTTTAACATCAACCAATATTCCATAGTACATTACTCACAAATAATAGGACACAAACAAGCACTAAAAGGACACGAAACAGGACCTAAATGTATACTCATTACGTCATGCAATACGTCATCCTTTCTAATACTCGAACTTTTATTTACAATGGTACAACATTGCATGGATCATTCTTAGTATTATAGTATTAGACCATAATTAGTTTTGTAATTGTCAATTAGATCCTTAAAAGATTTTGTCAAATTACTTAATGCATGTTAGACGTAATGCAAAGGAAAATTATGAGCACCTCATACTAATTTAATCAGAGACAGTACACAATATTTGTAGGATAATTTTACATGTACGTTATTATATCCATAAAGGTGTCCATAATGTACACGTGGAATTCCATAATTGAAGAGTTCGAAAATATGTTTTTCAACCCTCCACTGATGTTATATCACTTGTACATTATGGACACCAAAATATAAATGTAGCATAACCCATATTTGTATCACTGATGACCAAATTAAAGCTATGATTATACAATAGATAAGAGTTCATTTGACATGGCAATTTCCAGAGGAATCTTTTAATACAAATCCGATGGATGCTGAAGGAAAATATTTTATATCCGACATATCTTTATCGACTTTAAAATTACATTCCAGGGAAAATTTTCATCTCACAGAAGGAATGGGTGATCAAAAATAGTCAACTTTGCTGTGCTTATTGACTGAAAAATAATAAACGCACTCTGATAGGCTGTTTACAAGTTGTTATGAGATTAATCAGAATTATCTCATTCCAAGAAGCATTGACCCTGCAAAAGAAGATGCGTGCACACACATAATATATATAGAAACATATGCGTCAGCATGGCTCAAGTTGGCAACTTGCTGATACAGAAATTACAACATGGCATGACTGAAGGGGAAAGGAGCCTTAAATATTATATTTTTTTCATTGACTCGTTATAAAAAAAGTGTATAGTGGAACTGTGGATAAAGAAAAGAGAAGAAAAGCTGCCAAAGAAAGGAAAAAGAAGCAAATATGAATGCGTGCTATTATCCTTAAGATTACCAATTCTTGGCTGCAAAGACACCTCATCTATCTACTCATATTCCTTTCTTCTGTATATTTTTATCCATTTTTCTTGGGTTCGAGCCCGTATATTTATTTCGAATCAAGATTTATATATGAATTTCTCAGCAACTTGCCAAAAGAAAAAGGCCTGGATATGGTTGTTGTTGGGTTGGTTGGGGGGGGGGGGGGGGGGGGGTGGGGAGATTTTTGTTGGTGGGTGGGGGGGGGGGGGGTGAGAGGTTGAGATGAATTTCCGTTGCTTAAAATTAAATTCTTGTTGCTTCTACAATTCAAAGTGTTGAAGTCATACATCACCTAACAACTTAAAATAACAAGATTGTTAATGTCTTAAAACATCTCGAAATAACATTAAATATGTTAATATAACTTTGAATTGCTTATGAGTTACATAAATATATACATAAAGTTGGCTTGATTCAACAAGGTCTAACTTGGCCAACATCATCTCTAATCATCTTTTCTTCAACAAAATGATAATCAATTTTTTATGATTGGTTTTGTTGAGAAGTATAAACGCTTATTTTATTCCAACGAGAGCAATTGATTTAAAGAAAGAACAATAAACATTCAAGAACACGCATTATGATATATAAAATCAGCCAAACCAGTGTTATTTACTCAAAGAAACACTTAAGAACATGTACGATTTATAGAGATTCATATCAATGTAAGGTTATGCCTCCCGTCACTGCAATAATTCAATATGATAAAAAAAAAATTACAAGAAAAAATCCCACACCTTTCTTCTCTAATATCTCTTTCTCTCTCAATTTGACAGTAATAAAAAATATAAGGAGGACTCCGTATTTAAAAAATAAAAGATGGCGAAATCAAATTCTACAATGGCTCCTATTCCTTAATTGAATTTAACAAGAATTAAGCTCCTCAACTTAACAATAATTAGGACTACAATTCAAACATAAATTCCTAAAAAATGCTTAACGAATTAGTCTCCACAACTTAACATTCTCTCACTTGGAGGTTGACTCACCATCAATGACTTCTCCATAGCGTTAACAACTCCTCATTTCACAAAAAAAAGTCAAACTAAAGTTGTCGATTGAAACAGTCTTGTTAACATTAGATTCTGATTCCTTTGAATCTTCTTAAGTGTTAAGATTCCATCATTTTTTTCCTTTTAACCGGTAAACCCAGTAATTCTACAAAGCCTTCTTTCCTTTTGATAACTTTTTCAATTGCCATGTTTGATTGGACTACAACGAGTCCATCTCATTCTTCATGGCTAACTCCCACTTAATGATTCATCATCCTGTACAACTTTACTATAACTTTCCGGTTTACCTCTATCACTCAATGGAATATAATGGAGTGCTGGAGAATATCTCTTCGGAGGTCTACTACATCTGTTTGATATTTTGGATGATGTCACTGGGGTATTCTAATGTACTTCTGGGGATATATTTTCTCGATTTTCACCATCAACATTCTTTAACTCAATCACTAGAAAATCTTTCAGCAGGATCACCTCAAGTTCCTTATCTTCAAAACTTGAGTCTTTAGGGTTAGTTCCTAATCGCTCGTGAGAATTTTTTTTTTTTTTCAAAGGAAAAAATGCATTCTCTCATTACATGTTTGGCATAATTTTTCAATCAACATATGCATATGTATCTCTAGGTCAAGTTCCATCAATGTGCATAAGTGTTGTATTCAAACTTTAGCGGGTTCGTTAACTTGACTAATTCGATTGCTCTCTTTGTTACTAGTGTGTTACTTCTTGTCCTTTATTATTCATGATGAAAAGGGGAAGAGATAGATAGTACTATTTATTTTAAGGACGGTTAGTAGTATATGAGTTAGGGGAAGAGATATTTAACAAGGATTTGATGTTTTGCCATATTGATATTTTGTTTGGTGTTTTGGAAATTTAGATGTTAAGTTGTTGATGCACGTGGTGCTATATCTTCTAAGATTTAGATATGTCTGGACCAATTGTAAGGGATTTTCCTCTGTTAGCATATAATGGTATTCTTTACTTCTACTGTTTTCATTTGCATGCTTGATTGATTAATTAAGGTGATCTTACTTTGGCCGGTGAGTTGTCCTGAGAGAATGTATTTGGCCTTCACCCATTGGTCATTTATGGATTACTTGGATTGTGCTACTTACTACCAAATGTGAGCCATTGGACCTACGATGGATGGCTATGATCAAATCCTATTTAAATATGGTTTTGACACTTGGTCTTCGGCCAATTCAGTTGGTTTTGTGTTCGAATAAAGCCACTTGTCCAGGATTAAAAATAGGAAAGTAAAGAGACGGATTGATGCGTTAGAAAATAATATTTTTATTTTAATTTTTCAAACTGTCCAATCATGCATCGACACATGTCTCATCTAGAGCTAAGTCTGGATTGTAGCATGATTGTTTGAGTTAAGACTTGGTTTTGATTATTTTCTCTCTGTGGCTTCGAGTTGCTCTCTTCTTCTCTCTAGTTTTTGATTTACTTGCTCTCTTTGGTTTAATCTTAAGTCTCTAAATTAGTGAGATTTTGGAATACTAGAAAATCCTTAGGTTTAGGCTCGTTTGTATGATTTGTGGCCGAGTTTTTGGCATTGGTGTTCGGTCGAACAAGTTAGGGTTACTCTTGTTTATAGGATTCTTGAGATCATTATGTGATCTGTGACTAGAACCTTAGAATGGAAGTCGGATTGGTTTCTTGTATATTAATCTCTCTAGACGGTGTGGTTTTCATATAGTGGATAGGCTGATCTTGAGTCCCCTAGATTAGGCCTATTTTGGCTCAACTGGGTGACCAATTTTCGTGTTCTTGAAGTTCTTTAATTTCTGCATTTATTTACTGTTGTGGTGTTGCGATTTTCGTCATTTGATAGATTTTTTCGATTGATTGAGTTGCTCGAAATATAGGATTATTTAGGTGAAAAATCAGTTTTGGGACCAATAATCCCAACTTAGGGTTTAATTTGATTAAACTTGTTCATCCAAAAACAATAATTAGTGACTTGTTTAATTCTGCATTATAAACCTATTTAACCCCCTATAGGTGTTAGTCGAGTTGAAACCTCATTCATTTCAAATTGGAATGCACAGACTGTGATCACGAATAGGACTTTCAATCACCTGCAAAATTGTTAGGGGGATTACTCCCATAGCCCTACAATGCTTTAAGCTAGTGAACAGATGCAGAGAATATAAGATTGAGGTTATGAATTGGAATATACTATAAAGCGTATCTTAATTATGAATGTTGAGCATATATCGAGCACATAAGATGCAATACCATAAGGATTAGATCACTTGTAAAATTCCAGGATGACCATATAAGATTGGACTCTCAGTGGTCAAGAACTTCCTACGTGGTTAGAACACAGAAGATATAATGAACTAGAACCAGACTGGCAGAGAAGGACATCGATAACCCCCGAACTTACGAGTGTGGCTGGGATGCCATGTAGGCAAGTCAGAGTACTAGACCGCGGTCGGGGACCTTTAGCAGGACAGTCGGTCCTAGTCCTTGAAGATAAATGGTATCATCCAGCGTTAAAGAAGCATATTCCACGGTTGTTAGAATTTCTTCGAATTAGGCCCTCCCTTTCACAAAGTCGCATTTACTAAGGAACAGGACCATATATGCTAAAAGCGTTTTGTGCTGAACATAAGCGTGTTCATTATTGAGAACCAACAGACTTATGGAATAGGCCAAGTTTGGCATAGTTCATCATAACGTACATTATAGAACCAATGGCATTAGAGTAAGGAATTAAATCCATTTCACTCCTTTCCAAATCATTCTTATGGCTATGCGATGAACTTAATTTGAAATGTAAACCTAGGGGTTGACAAAGAATTGTGGGCAACTTCATTCCAAATCTTTCAATTAATTTATTCACATAAGAAGTTTGTTTCAAGGTCAAGACAGATATAAATTTATTCCTGTTAATTACCAAACCAAGACTTTTACTTGCATTCCCAAGTTGCTTCATTTCAAATTCTTTCATAAGAAGGTGTTACACACTTTTGATTTCCATTTCACTTTCGCTTACAAGCATATAATGTAAATAGAGAAGGAAAAACCATGAAAATAATGAAATTTTATTTTGTCATATTTAATAGCAGCAAAGGCCTTTGGAGTAGCAGTAATAGTACATCAGACTAGTCGGTGCAGCAGCGGTACATGACAAACTTGTCCATGGTACGTCCACATTCAGAGCAAACCACCCTCTCTGGAATGTTTCCATGCCCCGGCAGAATGAGGCGGTTGCAGTGGTGTTCGGGGTGGACGCCACTAATCTCCTTGTCTAGTTCAGGGACAAACTTATCAGGGTGATCCACTCTGTGTCCCCATTGGTTAAAGTTGTCGAAAACTGTGATCAAAATATCATCTTTGCCTTTAGTCATTTCATACAGGCCCCTGCTGAAAACAGCCCATCCTTGTTCACTGCCGTCATAGGTTAGCATTGCCATGATTTCCTGCATTATTTTGTCAGTTTCGACCGTCATGCCGTGTTGAAGTTTTGAGTTCCACATGCTCCCAAGCCTCACCCAGAAGAACCAAATGTAATCATAAAAGTCCTTCAATGGAAAAATGTGGCTAAGTTTTTCCGTGTCTATGATTTCATGGCATCTTCTCACTCTGTCCTTTGAATTTCTCTTTCCGACATAAATCATTTCTAAGGGAACGTGCAATGTGGTTGCAATGCCCCGTACTGTAGTTGTGAATCTCCGAATCCAGTTAATGTCATCTCCACCATACAAGCATATAGTTTTATTGTCCCTAGTCTGTGACACCAAAAAATGTCAAAATAATAATAATAATAATGAAATATGAACATTATGTTACAAGTACGATGCTTACTATCTATTACGGACCTCTAACCCGCATCAGAAGCAATAAAATGCATTATGTTTATTTACAATGCATAGGGGTAAGATTGACTAATTAGGGATCTTGATATTCATGGTTATAACGACTGCATGATATTTGATTGTTTCTTGAAGAAAGGTAGCAAATAATTTAGGGCGAAAATGGTGTACGTACCCATTCCTGGATACGTGGATCAATGGAGTCTGTTAGTAAATCCATATTCCAGGTACTTTCTCTCCATAGATCCAATTCCCTTTGTTTAGTGAAGGGGAAAGCATGACTACCCCAAATCCACATCATAGGTAAAGCATTGGTGTTCGCCACTCTTCCTTGTGGATCCAAGACAACGAGCATTGGCATGTGGATGAAATTCCAAATCTCCCGGATGTACCTAATGGCTACTGGATCAACAAAGGAAGGATGATCCACAGAATACCACGGCATAGAGCTTCGAAGATCGAGAAATTGTCTCTCCTGTGTTGGGCTTATTGACACTGCATGGTCAACAATGGGAAACCAAAGAACCTCGTACTCGTGCCTCATCGTCTGCTGGCTGTAAATCAGATGGAGAATGTTGAGCTCTTCTTGGGGAAGGTCTAGGTCCGAAATTAGTAGCAGGACATACTTCAACCTCAATACCTCGAGGCGTTCCTGTCACCAGGAAAATGTAAAAACACATGGTCACGTCTAATCATAAATGGAAATGGATCAAGAATTTCATGTACTAGGGATAAGTAAGGAGACAACATTTATCCTTCTAGTCCCATCAAAGATTGGCATTTGATCTTCTCGGGCACGGATAATTGACTTTAATATTATCATGTTGTCAATATGAGATGTCTCAAAGAGTTTCTTCAGTGCTGCTAATGCTGCATCTGTCTTCCTATCCTCTGTAGATAGAAGTACAATCATTTAAGATTGATAATATGAGTAACCATAATTCGAGAAATGAAGTAGAACTTGTGCTGTAATATCGAGACGGTGGACCATACTAAGTGCCTTCGTAGGACTACCTTAGCTTTGGTTTAGGCATGCCAATTATTTCAAACCAATCAGCTTTTTGGTGACTTACCAATCAACTCCTTCAACTTCCTCAGCTGCTCTTGCAAGTGCTCAGTCATGTGGGAGAGCTTATTAGCTAGACTTAATATCTCCCAGGACTCAGCAGTAGAGGTAATGTACCTGATCCCCAATAACATTATTCAAATGTCAGTACATTTAGAATTCAGATTTTCTTGTTTTCATTTACGTAGTTAATTAGTCACAATAGGAAACATACTCATGACCACTGCCAACAAGGTTTAGGAGTACTGATGCACAGGCCAAAATGCTCCTTATGATCCAATAAACAGTCGTCGGAATGTGAGCAGTCGCGGATACCATTTCTGGTGACTCCCGGTTAATGTAACGAGTAGGGAGCTCCTTGAACTCTACAATGATCTGAGTCACAGTCAGTACAGTCTGTAAAAGATTGAAAATAGCTTTAAACTTCTTTTTAATTTCTTCGTTATGCTCCATTGTATCAGGTAGATCCTTCAGAGCTGCAATATCCTTGGCAAGTTGATTCTTCCCGCGAAGTTGATCGACCAGCCAAAATTCACCATAGGTGACTGAAAAAGCTGCAAAGGTAATAACTACTTTGGCATCCCACCCGTAGTTAGACAGCGTCTCGAGGAGTCCAATGGCTATTGAATGTGCTTCTCCTCCACCGGCACATTTGCAAATTATCTGTTGCATTAAACATTCATAATCTTTTAGGGGGCTTATATACTTCCCAGATTCCAAGTTTGTCTCCATATACACCGCGAGGCCTCTTATTGCAAGTTAATACGAATTTTTGTAGCATTCACGAAACAAATGCAAACAAAAATATGAAAGTATTTATTGGCTAATAGTGCATGATTTGATTTTAAGATAATCAAGAGAGCACAAGAGAAGAAGAGTTTTAATATACCTCGCAGGAAATTTTGTTTATGGGATATGCCAACAGTTTAACTATCTCCGCATCATGGTAAGCACTTTGAAAGGACTTCTCCTCGTATGACTCTGAATGTGCTGGAACTTGAGCTCCCTATATTATAAACATATAAAAGTGTTAGTTAAACGCAGCTAAAATGAAGTCTAGAAAGCATATAAACCAGAAAAGCATGTTTGGCAACGAGGATTAGGTAGTACATGAACGATGTCAAAAGATTTGCCATGTCGCAGGATTTCCTCAATGATGGAAAGAACAGGCTTCACATCAAGATCTTCATGATCTGGAGCATGCGTGCCCTGAATTTGCTTGTTCAATCCAATATCATCAGCTGCAAAGTGGCGATAACGCCTATCACCCTTCGTCAAACGACCTCTGCCTCCGTTACTGTGATGTGCTGGACTGTGATCCAATTCATCCTGACTTGGTTTCAATTTCGCCCTCTCACGATCAGTCAAATAACTCTGAGTGCCAGGTGCTGTTGTCGGAGGTTTAGGATTCGACTTGTCACTCACCAGTGGGTTGGTCCTAGGAGCAGGCACAATTTCTCTGTGCGCCATTTCTGCAAATAGAAAGAGGGATAACAAGAAACAAGTATGTTTGAAGAACAAGGGCTGTTTTGGTGTCCATTAGGGATCCCTCCAGGCCTTATATAGTTAATAAAGCTAAGTGAATCAAGTACCTTGCTTCCATTGTGGTCTACAGCCTGTAGGGGGTTTCTACAAAAAAATTCTATCAGCCAAATCTTTTACATCATGGTAAAAGAATGAGCTTTAGCAAGATTTTGGGACATTTTGAATATTTTCGTGAATCCCATTACGTTGAAGATGTCTTGTTCATCCTTATACATATTTGTTAACAAATCCTTGTTCTTGGCTGAACTGTGGTTTTACAATTTTATGCTCAAAAATGATTTCTTGCATGCATTAACGTACTTGAGGAACTTGTAAGACGGTTAACTTGTGTATTCATATATACAGGAATCTCAGCAAGAAAACTGTCAAAACAAACACCGTCAGTCACCCCAACTCATAGTGCCGCTTCATTTTAAAACGCAGTTTTGTTTTTGTTGAAAGCAATAACAGTATTTCATTTTTGCTAATTTTCACATTTATATATTCTAACTTTTTTTTAACTTCAACTTCAATTAAAGTATAACCTCTATTGTGCCCTCTGTTTGGGCTACAATATTTCAAATTATAATGAAAGGAATAGTAAATTTTTGAAGAATGTGTAATTAAAAAGGAAGCTTTTTTTTTTAGATTTATGTGTAATATTATTTTATTGGAGAATGTGCGATCAATAAAAAGAGAGGGCAAAATAAATTTTAATTTAATGAGGACTAAATTGGGATGTAAGAAAATTTCATTAACCCAACTTGGACTGATGGGATAAATTAAAACTCTTTAAAATAATAACATCTATTATATAATAAAATTTTCCAATCTCAGCCATGTTAGTTAGTAGAGTTAGAACATTTTCACGAGATTCTTTAAACATATGATGATTTCTATTTTAAAATATCAACTTTTAAAATCATATTTCAGAGACTTTTTAAATTAATATTTTAACTTAGAGAGTGAGTTTGGCTCTACAATTTTTTTTATATAATTAAATGCTTTCAATTTTCAATGTAGGAAAACAATAAAATAGTTTAGAGAAAAGCTAGTAAAAATAAAATATAGAGAAAATAATAAATATTTTTTGAAAGTAGTAAAATTAAATGTTAAATATAAAGAATTTGTTGGAGCACTTCAAAATTTTAACTTTCTAAATTTATGAATGCTTTCCAAATGATAGAAATCTGCTTTTTAAAAATAGAGAGTCTCGAAAAAATGCTCTTATATTTTAATTAGCACATTGTCTTTGATGACAGTTTTTATCCAAATATATTATCATTGTGCTTTGAAATGAGGGGGAAATATTTTATCGAACTTTTATTTTTATTTATTATTATATTATGCAAATTTAAGGATAAGTAAGTCTTTTTAAGTCCTCACGATGAATTTTTGAGATAAAAATAGGTATGAATTATGATAAGCTAATTAATAAAAGTTTGCAATAAAACATGGCTTTAAAAATTCGAAAACATAATTGTGACAATGAAAAAAGATTGGAGACTTTCATTGCAGTAAACAAATTGTTGTTTGAATAAAATTACCTCTAAAACTAATATTTTCCCAATTTAGTCGTGGAATAATAATCGTTGGCACTTTGTCTATTTTCATTTGCTAAATTGGCGTGATATAAAAAAATTTTTGTTAAGTGTCTTGTTGGACAAGACATGCTTTCTTTTCTCATTTAGGAATCATGACTTATCTATATCTAATAGAAAAAGACTTCTTGCCAAGCCAGGGCAAAATACAGGGGCCCACCTAATTTTAAGCCTGGGCAAACAGCAAGCTATCACATCTCCAAGTGGTAAAGGGGGAGGGTGGAGAAATCCAGTTTTACTTGAGGCTGTTGTGCAAGGGTTCGAATCTTGAAATATGAATTTGACTCTTGGGTAAGTGCAAGTGTATAAGCAGCCTTCCACCATGTACCCTTGGAGGCGTAACCTGCGATTTACCTCCCTTACGATACTCCAGGACAGGGACGGTGGGGGGCCCTTAAGGTTGGGGTTCAACCTTTAATAATAAGCGTTTTTGTCAAGTGAGATCAAATTTTACATATCACGTCATCATTATGAGCACCCTGATTTTTGGGATTATGTACCCCAAGAATAACACAAAAATGTTTTATGATCAAAGCAAAACAAGTTTATAAGTTGGGCGACATTCAAACTACGATCATGGTCAAACCCATATCTTTTCTTTAACATCTAAAACTTTTGGTAATATGATTTAACATTCATACTATGGACAGCACGCCATCTCTTCTAAGACGACTACCCTCAGGTACTTGAGCAAAACAGGCCACACTCCATCTTTCTTTCGAGCGAGTCCTTTTTCTTTTGATTTGAAAGACGGGCATTGCGTTCGATTCTAAAGGCATGGTTTTTAGTATGTCTCCAAATCGAGGCCCCACTAGTCTGGCTGGCTCATTTATTAAAAGAAAAAAAAATTATGTGTTTGATCTTTTGGAAAAATGAATCCAACTAGCAAATAAAGAGACGTGCTAATCTCGAACACTTTAAATTTTTTTTTGTTAAGTGTCTTGTTGGACAAGACATGCTTTCTTTTCTCATTTAGGAATCATGACTTATCTATATCTAATAGAAAAAGACTCCTTGCCAAGCCAGGGCAAAATACAGGGGCCCACCTAATTTTAAGCCTGGGCAAACAGCAAGCTATCTAATAATAAGTGTTTTTGTCAAGTGAGATCAAATTTTACATATCACGTTATGAACACCCTGATTTTTGGGATTATGTACCCCAAGAATAACCCAAAAATGTTTTATGATCAAAGCAAAACAAATTTATAAGTTGGGCGACATTCAAATTATGATCATGGTCAAACTCGTATCTTTTCTTTAGCACCTAAAACTTTAGATAATATGATTTAACATTCATACTATGGACAGCACGCCATCTCTTCTAAGACGACTGCCCTCGGGTACTTGAGCAAAACAGGCCGCACTCCATCTTTCTTCCGAGCGAGTCCTTTTTCTTTTGATTTGAAAGACGGGCATTGCGTTCGATTCGAAAGGCATGGTTTTTAGTATGTCTCCAAATCGAGGCCCCACTAGTCTGGCTGGCTCATTTATTAAAAGAAAAAAAAAATTATGTGTTTGATCTTTTGGAAAAATGAATCCAACTAGCAAATAAAGAGACGTGCTAATCTCGAACACTTTAAATTTCAAATAATACTGTGTAACGATGGTAAATGTAGAAGAAATGAATCCTGAAAATCTTCTTTACTTGATACTCTGGTTTATAGCACCCCAAAAGGTAAAAAAGTGAAGCCTTACACCTCCAGAAAAGAATATCATTTTTACTATTTGTGGTTCCTATCTTAAGTTTCTGTTTTTTAAAGACTATTCACTTTATAAAAGAATATCATTGTTAGTATTTGTGGTTCCTATCTTAAGTTTCTGTTTTTTAAAGACTATTCACTTTATGACAAGAATGTGGTATAAGTTGTGTACGTTTTGATTCATATAATCCTCTTCTTTTCGATCCCGTCCACACAGTCCTCTACAATCCAACGTTCGGAATTTAATGGTACTTAGCATTATAATTTGGAGATATTGTATAATGAAAAACACTTTTCGCCCAAGCTTTATATGGGGGGCTGAAATGGCCCATTTGATTTGATTGAACAACTTTTTCTTTGACAGAACCTCCTTTATTTTTTTTTATTATTATTTTTTAATCACTTTATTTTATTTTATGCAATGTGGATTGCATGGTGGCTTTATAATATTCCGAAGTTTTGTTCCAAAACTAACCTAACATTACTACATAAAGAAAAGTAAAGAGAATATTAAACAAAGTTAAAGTCACAAGAAACAAGGATATAAATCATTGTTCCTACATTCTGATTCCTAAGAAGATACAAACTGAAGCCCCTTTAAGGTTGTCTTGGCCGAATTTTGTTTCCTATAATCTAATTAAAATTATACAACTTATTGGCAATAGCTTGATAATTTTTTTTTTTGAATTTAATTCATGAATCAGGAAATTTTTAATTTAGTAATTCATTTTTAATCTATTAAAAAAGGAGTCATCTTGGAATTATTTATTTTAGTCATGCTATTAATGTGCTTTCACATGACAAATAAATTTGGTTAGACTATTCTTGAGTATAACCAAGAAAATTATGGTTTTAACATGAGATATTAGAACTGTCTTTATAGGTCTTTCATTGGCATAGTAACTTGTTTAGTTTGAAAAGGTGGCGTAAAGTTTGGCCGGACACAACCCACCGACCTTGCATATTGGTACACCCCAAGAAAAATCCTAGGTTTGAGGTGCACAAGTTGTATTTCCTTCTTTCTTATGTCATATTCGCCGCCGAAGGAAATACAATAAACGTAAAAGCTTAATGGGGAAAAATAACTACATAATCGTTGATGGGGGTTATGTATTTTGATATCAAATAAACCCAAGATGATGATAACTCTTCGGATCGAATTAAAATCATATGGTTCATTTGGAACCTATTATAAAGATTATAATTAATAGTCGATCCAAAACACACAATTGGCCACTCACAACAAAAGTGGGACCGAGTATTGCATTTAGGACCGGACCCATGTAACTAACATATTGTGGTACTATATATACCTGGCTCTCCCCATTTCTGCATTATGACATATAGTTTCCTTGGGCCCCTTTGAGAGAGATTTCGGTTGCTACCCTTGATACTTTGTATGCTGCCATCTTGTTTGGTCCCTTTGTGAGACCTATTATATCACCCATCACCAACACTTTGACTGATGACATGGCTACTAGTTCGACCCCATGTCTATCCGGTTTTCTCCCTACTTGCTATTATCCTCCTGTCGCCTTTGTGCATGGCTGTCTCTGCATGATTACTTGGGTATTTTCTTCGTGGCTTTGAGTGAGATTCTTGGACGATTCTAGTGGAGCTACCTTGTGTGTTTTTTGGGTCATTGATCTGAGCTCTGTAAACTTCATTTTCTGTGCCAATCTTTGTGAAATAGAAAGGAAATGTTTTTTTTTTCATTCACGACTTGATTCCATTATTATCATTTGATTTGGAACTTACTTTGTGTTTGCTTGATCACTTAAAGGTTATATTGACCTCCACAAAATCGTATCAGAGCCTTCAGTGGCTCGATTGGTGGCTAGTTTTCAATCCTATCGACTAAAAATTGGAGTTACAGCGATCGAGGCATGTGTATGGTGTGCAATTGAGGAGTAGGTCAGCTGTTTTGCCAATAAGGGCTTGAATTTTTAATTAATTTCGCATCTCTCTTTGTTATGAACTACAAACAGGTCTCCTTAGGTAATTTTGTTGAAACTCCTTAAATTACTGCAATAGCAGGTCATCATGTGAGATGACCAAAAGGATTGCAGCCTTACTTGATACTAGTATTTTAGGACTATTTCCCTAAATTTGTGATATTATCGTTTTTGTGGCTATATTGATAGTTGTTCACTTTTCGTGTTGTTGCTGAGCTATTTGTATTTAGAATTGTTACTTTTGATCTTACCCGCTCGAAAATTCCTTTAAGACTGAGGTTCGAATCTCACGAAAGGTCCCTTACCCATGTATAGCTGCTACCTACAGGGTGGTTGTCTTTGTAAAGGTCCCTTACATGTTCCTTGTCTTATTTGTTAAGATGTCTACAAACCATTTTGACTTCAAGTGTCTTTAAAGGTAAATATGATTTTTTTATTTGGCAACAAAAGATAAAAGGAAATTTAGTACAGTAAAAATTTTCAAAAGCCATTAATAATTATTTTGCTGGAACTATGATTGAGGATCATAAAAATAAGTTTGACAACGTGCTTATAACTTTTATTTTGTACTTATATCTGATTCTTTTTTGCAAAAAAGTTGGCAAACATGATACTTCTGAAGACTTTGAAAAAAATTGAGGAGCTTTATTTAACTTAATCCATGCCCAGCAAATTTTTCTTGAAAGTTTTTTTGGTTTCAAAATTAATCACTCAAGAGAATTAGATGAGAATCTTGACATTTTCAATAAATTGGTTCAATATATTACTAATTTTGGTGAAAAGGTTTCCAATGAATATAAAGCAATTATTCTTTTGAATGCTATTCCTGATAACTATAAGGAAGTCAAAAATGCAATCAAATATGGGAGGGAAATTCTTACATCCAATATAGTCATCTATTCCTTAAAAATAAGGAAGGGGAAATGAAAGTTGAAAGAAATGAGTGAAAAGCACGAAAGATTCCCCAAATGAGAGGTGGAACTCAGTTTAGAGGTGGAAAAAAGCAAAAAAGTGTTGGCAAGGAAAAGATGAGAGGTAGATCTACGTCACAGGGAAAGGCTAAGGGGAGAAAATGTTCTAAGTTGTGGAAAACTAGGACATTTCATTAGAGTGCCATGAAGAAAAAAACAAGTTGAGAGATCAGATGGATCGTAAACCCAGTGAGGGCAAACGTTGTTGTCGAGAGAGATGAACCTGGTGAGGTTCACATGCAATTGGATACTGAACCAGTTGAAATTCACTTGTCTATGAACTCTCATATGCATGAGCAGATTCTTGACTCCGATGCTTATTTTCATGTTATATCAAATAAATTGTGTTTGATTATTTGCACGAGTCTTATCATGGACATGTAGTTGCATGGGATGAGTCATATATGAGGTCACTGGCATGGGTAATGTGACTGTCAAATTTAATAGTAGTTTTGTGCAACACTAAAAGAAGTTAGGTATATTCCACATATGGGTAGGAATCTAATGTCTGTAGGAGAGTTGAAGCATACAGATTTCACTGCTGCACTGGGTGATAGAATGGCACTTAGAGCCTTTAAGGCTACTAGGAACAATAGCATTTACATCATGCATGCTAAATTGATGGGTGGTTCAAATTCCACCATCACTGATCACACACGGAAGTGGAACCAATAGGTTAGTTCATATTAGTGTTAAGGGACTTAAATTTCTTAATGATAAGAGTGTGTTTGGTAAGAATCTGGTGTCTAACATGACATTTTGTGATCATTGTATACTTGATAAATATCGTAGAATGTCATTTGCATCTAGCACACACAAGACATCTAGAGTGTTAGAATACATTCATATTGATTTGTGGAATTCGGAGAGCAATTTCACTTTTGATGGTAACAAATATTTTCTATCCATTATTGATGATTTTTCTAGATGTGTATGGATTTATTTGCTGAAAGATATATCCGAAACAATCGAAAATTTTAAAAATTGAAACATTAAGGTAGAGAACCATAAGGTAAAATGTGAAATAATTGTGTACTGATAAGGGTCTTGAGTTTTGCAATGCTGAATTTGAAAATTTGTGTAATGAATCTGGCATTGCTAGCCACGGGACTGTATCTTACACTTCCCAATAAAATAAATTTACTGAAAGGATGAATAGTACTTTACTTGATAAAGTTAGTCTATGAGGTTAAGTTCTAGTGTGCCTAAGTCCTTTTGGGATGAAGCTGTTATGACTGTTTATTATGTGACTAATATGACTAGTTTCGCTACCTTAAGTGGTGATACTCTGTATGAGATTTGGTACGATAGATGTGTTGATTATTTCATACTTAGAGCTTTGGTTGTGTTACTTTCTTTTATCAAAGTTGGAGAAAAACAGAACCTAAAACTAAGAATTTTGTCTTCTTAGGCTACCCCGAGGGAGTTGTGAAATATAGGTTATGGGATAGAAGCCAGGAGAGCATGACAATAATCGTAAGTTGCGATACTACATTTAATGAGTCTGAGATGCCTTGTAAAGGTAGTGACAAACGGCAAAAGATATTAAGGAAAAGTCACAAGTTGAGGTAGAGCTAGTGAATGTTCACATCTTCATCACCTTGAGCAAAGTGGAGAGTAATATACAAATCAACATCATATAGTGTTAGAAGGTAATGAGGAAGTTGTTAAGCCTATCGACCAAAACCCTCTAGTGATTATCGACTAGTTAGAAATAGAGAGATGAGACCACATAGGGAACCTCAGAGGATAACTGACTATACCATAGCCTATACTAGTTATAAAGAATTATTTGATAAAGAATCAAATATTTATGAGGAGTGAAAAGAATGAAGAGTGGCTCGGTGCCATGAAAGAAGCGATGAGTTCTTTTACTAGAATTGAACTTGAAATTTAGTTTCTAGACCTAAAGATAAATCCATAATAAGATGTAAATAGGTTTATAAAATTAAGGAAGAAACCACTGACAGTGAGCCTGTGAGATATAAGGCTAGGTTAGGAGCCAAGGAATAGATGCAGAAAGAATAGATAGATTATTTAGCCAACTGTTAAGTATACCACTATTAGGGTCGTGTTTGCTTTTGTTGCTTACTATGACTAGAAACTTGAACAACCTGATATCAAAATTGCATTTTTACATGGTGTTCTTGATGAAAAGATTTTTATGAATCAGCCCAAAGGTTTTGAAAGTAAGTCTAAACCTGATGTGTGTTTTTTAAATAAATCTCTTTATGGGCTAAAACTGTTTCCACACAAGAGCACATCGAGCCCATGCGAAGGGTTTGGTTAAGATATGCCAGATTCCACCAAGTATACAAATGGAACCTGATGTGGTACGAAAAATGTGATTTTTTATCTATTGGGTGAATTTGACCATTGCTTGTATTACCTATATCACCATACTAATGAATAGTGTGTGTATTTGTTACTTTATGTGGACAACATATTGTTAATTGGGCTTAACATGAAGTTGGTAAACAAGATTAAAATGGAGTTAGGGAAGGAATTTGACATGAAAGACCTAAGATGTGCTAGGAGAATCCTTGGTGTGGAGATTAATCTAGATAAATTTAATTCTTGCTTATCTGTGCATCAAACTCATTATATGCTTAAAGTTTTAAAGAAATTTGCCATGCCTGCGCTTTTTGGAAACCATTTCATTTTGACAAAAGAACATCACCTACTAAAGATGGAAAAAGGAAATCTATGAAAAATATTCATTATGCAAATGTCACTTGCTCCATTACGTACCTTATGATCTGTACTATATCTGATTTGGCTTTTCACTGTGAGTGTGTTAAATAGGTATATGTCTAGTCCCGATCCCAAACATTGGGAATTGTTAAAGTGGCTGCTTATGTACTTGAATGGTACTTTTGATGTGGAGTTCATTTATAAATCTACTAATGAGGGTGTAAAACTTAAAAGTTTCACAAATGCTGACAATAGTGTTGATAAAGACAATAGGAAATCTGCTTCCTCTCATGTGTTTACTTTGTGTGACTCTTGTGTAAGTTGGAAGTCTCAACTTCAATGTTTAGTTGATTTATCTACTACTGTATCTGAGTATATTGCTGCCACAGAAGCTATTAAAGAAGCTCCGTGGTTTAGAGGTTTACTTAATGAACTAGGTGTTTTAAGTGATAATGTGACAGTCAATCTCTTATTCATCTATGTAAGAATCATGTGTTTCATGAATGCACTATATATATAGATATTAGGCTGCATTTTATTAGATATATAGTGTCCCAAGATTTAATAAAACTTGAGAAAGCACATTCAGATTATAACCCTACAGATATGGACACTAAGGTGCGCCCCTGTAAAGTTTAGAAGTTGCTTTAAACTTCCAAATATTGGTTAATGTATGTGATGTTTCAATTTTATTTGAAATCATGTTGTATGACTACTAAGCTAGTTTTTTCTCTTTTGCAAGTGTATTTGGCATCAATGTAGAGGTTTTGTTAAGTATTTTGATACCAAATAAACTAAGGACAAATATGACTCGTCGGATCATATTAAAATCATATGGTTCATTCAGAACCTATTATTAAGATTATAATTAATAGTCAACTCAAAACACACAATTGGGCGCCCACAACAGAAGCTGGACCAAATGTTGCATTTACTGTTGACCCATGTGTCTAACCTATTAGGTACTATATATAATTAGCTATCCCCTTTTCTGCATTATGATACTCTGTTTCCTTTAGCCCCCTTGAGAAATATTTCATCTGCTTCGCTTTTATGCTTTGTTTTGTTCGATTCCTTTGCAATACCCATTATCTCACCCATTGCCAGCACCTTGGTCAGCAACTTGACTACAAGTTCGATCTCTTGTCTGTTCGATTTTTTCCTAACTTGCTGTTGTAGTCCAGCAGCCTTCACATGTGCATGTCTTTGCATTATTACTTGGGTATTTTCTTTAAGGTTTTGACTGGGATTCTTGGACCCTTCTAGTGGAGCTACCTTCTATGTTTTTGGGTCATTGATCCGCCATGTATACTCTACTTTTGGTGTGAATCTTTGTGAAATTGAAAGGGAATTATTTATTTTTCATTCACTTATATATATATATATATATAGAGGAGACATGAGTAACTTGTAGTACACTATTTTGGACTTGATCACGAATGTAGTGATAACCAAAGGCAATATGTTTCATACACGAATGAAAATAGGATTAGAATATAAGTGTATTGTACTAACATTATCATAGTAGATGGCA